TTTAAAATTATTTTTTAATTAGTAAATATATTATTAAAATCAATATTTAAAATTTTTATCTAATTGTAAAAAATATTCAATAAGTTAGCAGGCAAATTTGTCTGCTTTACAAATTAAGGAATAAAATTTTAAAATTAAAATAAAAAAAAATTTATTAACTTTGATTAGATAATTGTTGGGATATTTCAATTTAAAAATTAAAAAAAATTTACTAAACATGATTTGTTCCTTTTCTATTGACTCCCTCCATATGTCATCTATAACATATGATGTAGTATGTTTTTAATAAACAAAAGCAAAACTATCAAAATAAGTTATTATAGTTTTTATAAATAAAATATAAAAAACACAACTTATTATTATAAAAGTTAATAGTACAAATAAAACTAATAATAACTAAGAAACAAAAATTTAGTAAATTAAAATAAATAGTTATTGTAGAAGATTATCGTGAAAATGGATTATGCTGAAAATTCCGGTCTGAATTATTTTATAAATTTTAGCCCAATTCTGTAAAATATGTATAATTTTTTCAGGGTTAGGGTTTGGGCCCTACTAGGGTTAGAAAAAAGAGGGTATGATTTTTAAATTAAATATTTTTCATAACCTAGAAAACATTTTCGGCATAATCTCCCACAATAAATAATAGGTATTTTGATAACCATCATGATGTTTAAAAATTGATTAAAATTGGACTTATTTACCATCTAATTGCAAAAACACATGTTCTTTGAAATACGAAATAAAACAGGTAAATAAGTTTGAATTTTTTTATTATCTTAAGCATTGAACGTTTATTAAATTGTCTCAATTTTTGTGAAAACGTCACGGTAATAGCAAAAATGGCAAATAAATGCTTAATCATTAACATATTCATTCAATAATACTAAATAAATTTCAATAAATTACCATATTTATTTTCTTTAAAATTAATTAAACATCTATTTCTAACACTGCCATTACACCACCTACTAAATGTAAACTTCCAGTGACTAACACTTGAACTTCATGTTCATTCTCTTTGCAATGTTCAAGTACCCAATTAATAGCATTTTGTATTGTAGGAAAAACATGCGTTTCACTTTTTTGTGATCTTGACATTAAGGTTGGCCAAATTTCTGCAAGAGTTTTTTGCCAGGTAAGATTTTCATCAATTCTAATTGTATTGTTTTGTAAATCTAACGAAGATACACAAGTTCAATTAATAAGGTTAAATAAATTTAACTTCAATATAAACATATATTTCTGAATTTACCGGGTTTAAATTGATTCGTAGTAAATGTGACATTTGTACAAAAGTTAGCATGATCAAAATGGATATATGAATTTTGCGACGTTAAGTTTTTTAGCATTTCAGATCCATTACGATTAGCAGTGCAGTTAAATATTAAGATTCGTTCAATATTAGGTGATGATTCTGATTTGTTTTTCTGACTATAAATGTATAAAAATTTTAAGCGAAGTATAACTTGATCCAATATTATAAAGTAATTAGTTACCTTTCATCCACTTTGGATATTGCAGTTTCATTAAACCAGTTCATACATGCCTAAAAACATAATATTTAAAATATAAATTGAAGAATTATGGTCATTATCAATAATGATTTTTAATAATATTAACAAACCTGAATACTCTCTATTGTATGAGCACCATCAAGAAACCAAGTAATTTTTGGGTATTTTTCAAGGACAAGTTGTTGTGTGCGACCAGACCATCGCACCTTAACAAGTCCAGGAACAAACTCTTGAGGAACTCTTTCAATATCAAATTTAATATTTCTATGTTTTTCAAGCCATATACGACATAATTCAATTGCGAGAGATACATTTATGAGTTGATGTTGACCAGCAAGTCCTGAAATTGTCAATTATTTAATAAAATTACTCGAGAAATAAATCTAAATAGTTATTACATCTATATACTAATACCGATGTTAATGTTTCCCAAGGATTCTTTAGTATGCGTTTCGACTTGTATGAATGGAGCCTGTTGGACAAGTCGTAATAAGTTTAAAGAATATGAATTGTATATATATTATTTTACTTACATTCACATCTTTTGCTCGTTTCTTCAGTACATCCAAAGCTATAGAAGGCTGGTCAACAGTAACAGCCGGAACATTTGCCTTATTAATCAAGGAAATTATTATTCATAAGAAGAATTTATTTATTTCATAATGTAAAATTGATGACAAATTGAAAAGTACCTTGAATATGCCTCCCTTGTGCCATGCAATTAAATCAATTGTTTCACCTAAATATCTTTGGTGATCAATTCCCAAAGAAGATATACCACAAACTGTAGGTTTTTCTATAATGTTTGTTGAATCATATTCACCACCAATTCCAACTTCCATAATTGCCACGTCCACCTGGGATATTAAAACAATGATCACTAATTTAAGAATTAAAATCTAATTGCAATAAACTATAAACCTTTTCTCTCATGAAAACATGAAATGCCATTAACGTGAGAAATCGGAAATAGTTTGGTTTGAGTTGTTCAACAAAATTATGCTGTTTAACAAGAGAAAGTCTTCAGTACGATTAATTAGAATTTGCTTTTCTCTTGATAAAAATAATGATTTGAACCTGTAAATTATTTAACTCAAGCCTATCCCAGCATTCAAAGAAGTATTTGGCAAATTGTTCTTCACTTAACATAGATCCGTTCAAACGAATACGTTCTCGAACAGCAACAAGATGTGGAGAAGTAAACAATCCTCATATTCAAGTTGTGTTAATAAACTTTTATGCAACCATTAAAGTTGACGTATATGTTCAAAGCATAAAATACCTGTTCGAATCTTGTTTGTCATACTTTCTTTACGCGATGAATAGAAATTCCTTAATATTGATTCAACTAAAGCACAAGTAGAACCTTTCCCTTTCGTTCCAGTTACATGAATAATATTCAAACTATCGAAATCTCGTGGCTTTTAATAATAAATCAATATATTATTAAATATATATCTATATATATTTCATTAACAAGAGAATGTTTGAGTTCATTTAAATGTCATTACCTCATACCCAATTTTTCGACAAAATTCTCTCATTTCTGGGAGACTTCTTGAATTAATACCGCCACCCGCTTTATTAATTGCTTCGATGATAGCAGCGTTGGTTTGTAAAGAATTCAAACATTCAACCGCTTGCTTTATCCATCATGAACCATATATATGGTATAAGGATCAATAAAAAAATGTAAAATATTTATTTATCATTAATTTCTTATAGATGACATACCGCATAAGTTCTATTTTCAACTTGCATTGATACAGTTTTCAAATTCGTATACTTACGAAATTGAAAATGATATTTTTGATAAAAATTTAAAAATCGATTATATTTATAATATAAATTTTTCATTATAATTTATTTATATTGTTACCAATCGAATCAGGTCAAACGATAATCATCTAACGTAATATATAACTGTATAGGAAGATCTCCTGAATTCCATTTGGCTTGGTTAGGCTTATTTGGCCAAGATTACTCAGACTATTCAAAATTTTACCGGCTTCTAACGTCGAGGTACCAGGAATAAGGGTTAACGACGAGGAGCAATGGTTATTCAATAATAGCACAGGTTTCGTAATATTATATTATATTATAATGTATATTGGGCTTATCAGTTATTTGACTAATAAATTCTATTTACTGTAATTTTAGATGTTTTATTAGTTATATGACTTCATAAGATTTTTAACCCTCATCTGTCTAAAAATTAATAATAATTTTCATAAATAAAATCAAGTTATTATTACGTAATCTGGCTTTTCAAACGGAATGAGTTTAAGGATTAAAAAAAAAAGGGGGGAGTTTACACATAAAGGCCCAAAAATGAAAATAATTACGGTTGAGGCCCAAAATAAGAATCCTTACATATAGCGGCCCCAAAAATTATTACAAATAAGAGCCTATCCGATCTCCGAGCTAGGGATTGGAACCGCCTAAAATTTTTCTTAATCGTTTAATCGTTTAACCGTTTAATTTGGCCGGCATTAAAATAATTCCGGCCCACGACCAACATAATTCTGCCTGGAACTATGAAGCAATTTTTAAACGGTTAAACGGTTCCAATCCCTACTCCGAGCTATAAGCTACAAGAAAAAATGGTAGTCGGGTTTTTTGCTGGCTTACATGACTTCGAAAACTGATTGACGGTAAAGATATGTAAATTTTATTTTGAGCTTTGTTTTGACTTTCACTTGGTTTTCGCTTTAACTTCATTTTTGATTTTTACTTTGATTTTACTTTCGTTTTGACACTCGCTATGACTTCACTTTAATTTTCGGGTTGACTTTGACCTTCTCTTTGACTTTCGGTTTGACTTTCACTTTTACTTCGAGAATTTTTTCCGTGTTGAATTCACAAAAATATAATTTTGGCGGATCGTTTTAATAAGTTATTTAAGTTCGTGAATATTTTATACTTTGCTCTTGTTTATTAATGTTAATTTATCTAGTAAATACAAAGGACTTTAATGTCCGAAATGACCACAGCATATTATATCTTTTTATTCGTGTTATTTAGTTATGTATAAAGATCTTTTTAATCAATGCGTTAAAAGTTATTTTAGTAGTCGCCTAGTATAGTTCGGAGATTGGATAGGCTCTTATTTATAACAATTTTTATTTTAGGCCGCTATATGTAAGGATTCTTATCATCTGTAATTATTTGGGCCTTTATTTGTAAATCCTCCCCCAAAAAAGCTATGGAGCCTTATAATTCCAATGAAGGAGATGGTCTCCACGACGGATAAACTATCATTGGGACAGTAGATGAGTCATGTTGTAAGGATGGCATTGGATTGATTAAATCAAATTGGTTTATTTCATTGCGGTAGATGTAAGAACGGAAAATGGGAACATTTTCCGTGTTCGAATTTGTCTCGTCTGAGTTTGAAAAAATATCATTTTCATATTCGTGGATAGAGAATTTTTGAATTGTGTAGTTTAAGTTTGTTCTCATGGTTAAAGTTTATAGTATAAGTTAAGTGACGTGTTTTTTATGCAATTATTTTTTCGACTTTTTTTCTTACTTTAAGTTTTTGTCTTTATTTATAACTCTTTTTTTCATATAATGAGGAACTTAATAAGTAGGTTTATTGAATTGAAGTAATTATTACGATCCTTGTACATGATTTATATGTCGGATTTAAGAATTATTTGATTTTTTTTAGTAGGTTATTAGACATGTTGATTGTAGATGATTTTATAGTAAGTTGGTTTATAATATAAAAAAAAAAAAAGAGCGGTGGTATACGCATTCTTTAGAAATCAAGTTTCTTGACACTAAATATTCGATTAACCCTTGGGTTCTTCGTTCATTTCTTCCCTAGATCCTTTCATCCTTGGATAAAGGAAGACCCACGGTTCAATACACAGGGCTTTAAGAGACGACTATTATAATTAGCTTATTGAGAATTTAAGTATATTCGATTATTTCAGAACCGAATTTATAATTGTATTAATTTTTCTATTTTTAGGATAATTTGGTGCTGGATATCTTCTAGATTCTTGGGTTCTCATCATCATCATATAGGTCGTCTGAGTAATCATCTAATTGGGTTTGTAAGTGTTCAGTAGGAATTACATCATTTTGAGTCAGGTCCGTCGTGTTGTCTTGATTGTCGATCTCTGTGTTCTCGCGTCCTGTATTTTTTTTAATTGGTGATTAGTAGATGATTTAGAACTGATTGTAAAGAATCGTGGATCGAGATTCGAATTTTGTAAAATAATATTTAAAATTATTATTTATCGTATTATAGTGGTGATTGATTGATATATTAAGATAATATCGTAATGCAAATCAAAATTCATATGACTATATGTTTGATTCAAAAATAATCATAGGTATCCTTTCGAGTATGTTTCAGCTAACGATAAGTTAAAAAAAAGAATATATCTTTCGAAATTATAATTTAAGATATTTTTTTTTCTTTTTTTACCTTTAACATTGTCAATTGTAGTTTTAATCTTTTCGCTCTTGAGGAACTTTCTTCTTGGGTATTTTCGTTCAATTTTTCTTTCCCTTTATAGTATTGTACATTAGGAGCTTCAAACTTTTTCGCCAATTTTTTCTAATTCCTCATTTCTTCTTTTTCTAGTTTTTACGGGAGCTTTATCGTCACTGGCATTGGAATTTCCTTAACTCGAATGAGTCCATTCAATCACATCTAGTGATGGGCAAATCGCAGTTTTTTAAAAAACCCGCGCGGGATTCGCGAAATATAGTAAAGTTTTTTATATATATAAAGATAATCACTAGAAATATAATTTCTTGTTAAAATAATATATTTTAAATACATTTAAATCGGTTTATTAACACCCATGTTATAGTAATGTTGTTTAAAGAATGACTTAATAATGGTTATATTTATTATAACAAGGAATAGTAAGAACTACCAACGGCAAAAACAAATTTAATCAAGTATATGCATATATATATAGAATGATAAACAAATAAAAAGTTCTATGTAGAAATGCAGACCGGGTAAAACAGCCACCCAAAAAAGCTTCGGGCATCACGTGACAAAGATATCGAGCACTAAAAATTTATGTAAAAAATCATTTTCACCGATTTAAACCTTGCATTAATAAATAATACGTTTATTGAGTTATTCGAAATAAATAAAATGATTAATTTATTACTTATCGTTTAAATTTTTTTGTTTGTATTTTTTTTGTTAGGCTACATGAATTTTTAGTACTCGATATATTTGTTACGTGACGTTCGAAACTTTTTTGGGTGGCGATTTTACCCCAGTCTTAGAAATTAGCCCGTTAATGTTAATGCAGGCCAGATGATATGCTAATGTAGGTCAAATAATCTCACTAAAAATCCCACACGGGATCCAAAAAAACCCGCGCATCTCGTGCAGGATTCTGCGTACATCCCACGCGTAGCCCATCACTATTTACGGTTTAACTCAAAACATCGCAAATATATGTTGGTATTTGACAAATTTGGTTCTAAAATAAATAAAGATAATGGAATATGTGCAAATTGCAAGCGATATAACACATTTTACGCTTGGTGTCAAACAGGTCACATTCAGATGACAATACAAGGATGGACAAGTGAAAATAAGGATATCAACAATTGCATTAAAGATAAAGATGTAGTTGAATGGATTCCTTTTAAAGTTTAGTTAATATTCAAAAGAATGGTGATGAATTTTTAGTGACGTGTTAGATGGAATGCGTTATGTAAATTATAAATATGTTAATAATAAATACTAGGAAAATGGAAACCATTCAAAGTTCGAAGGACTAAATTTTAAATAGTTTAAATTATTAAAATATTAGTTTAATAATAAACTAAATATATATATATAATTTTTAATAATTTACAAATCTATATTATTACAAAAATTGTATTGTTTTACAATTTTGGACATTGCATATTCGTACAACTCAATCACTAAATTTTTAAGTCAGATTCATCGGATTTAGACCGGCATTTAGCAAACATCTCTGGTCAAAATTATCAGTTGGGCAGCTTTATTTAATGAGTGGGCCATGACTACTGATAATTTTTTATTTATGCATTTTATCAAAGTTTTTATTTACTTATTTTTTTTTATACTTAAGTATTTGCTTCTACTTTACTCTTATTTTTCTTCAAAAGTATAAACAGTTGTATATTCTACTATTCTGATTAGATTTCATCTTTCTAATTACTGTTGTAAACCTTCATTCTATGCTTTTTTTAAAATCTAAAACTTCTTTTATAAATTGTCTTATAGGGTCTTCTACTATTTCTTCTTTTTAACAAAGATTAATACTAGTTTTTTGCAGTTTCTTTAACTATTTTATCTATGTTATAGTTCCTTTTTTTACTAGTGTATCTACTTTAGTATTTTATTTATTATTACTATATTCTTTAACTTTAATAAGTTTTAATTTGAATTTTTTTAATTTTATACAATTTTTAATGTTTTTTGATAGTGTTAAGAACAAAGTTAGTACTAGAGTTGCTCTAACTCAGTATTATTTTGATCTATACCTTCTTATAACAAGAATATTTCTGAAACAAGTTAACTATTATGCATCAATAGTACTTTGAAAAACTTGAAAGTCAAGCTGCTTAACTAAAATAGTGTTATAATAATACAAAATCAGGAATTATAACTATTTGTTAAGATAGATTTGTCAGATTAGGTTAATTGTTCATGTCATAGAAGATTATTTAAGGTTCTAATTACAATAATAGATTTGAAACTATTAAGTTTAGTAGAAAAATATTTGATCTTGAATTCTGTATTATCTTTTCTTATAGGATGTATTCTTGTATATAAGTATATCTTTTTAAAAAGTTATAAAAAATTGAACAAATAGAATAGTCATTGTTAGTAATAGTTATAATAATAATAAAAACTGTTTTAGTAATAAACTGAGATCTAAGGGGTGTGGTGACCTAGTGAAGTGGTCAGGTTGTCAACCAACCCCCCAAGTGGTAGGTTGGGTGTTCAAATCTCATCGATGGCGAAAATTTGGATAATCACCTATGTAATATTTGTATTACAGCAACTGTTACTAACAGTTGAGTTAGGATACCTGTAATGGCGGTCGCACCAGCATGACTGGCAGGTTATGGGGCATCTGTGCAATGTTGGAATTATACAAAGGAATGCAAACTGACAGATTGGGCAGTGCAAACACTAGATAAGTCCTCGTAGCTGTGTAATTCCATTGAAATTGGGTAACAAGAAGTCCATTTGGGAAGACCCGAGTAGAGAGGTAGCTGAATCTTCGATGGCCCTAC